GTTCTTGGTGTGAAAGTGTTGGCAGTGGCTGGTGATGGTTGTGTTAGATTAGGGTTTTAAAAACCCTAATAGGGTAGGATTGGGCCCGAGATTAGGCACGAAGTTGGGTATTTTTTTTGGGTCGGGTTTTGGGCTTGTTGGTTTGCATTTTAGGTCTAGATGTAACTGGGCTCGGGTCTGGATGTAACTGGGCCGGTTGGGTTTGTAAAGCCTTAAATAATAATAATAATAATTTATAATAACAACAATAATAGTAGTAGTAGTAGTAGTAGTAGTAATAGTAATAATAATAATAATAATCATAAATGGGACGGAAACGAGTGTCGACAAATTTATGATAACATTGTACATTATACATATGTGCCCACAAAAATGGATTTTAATTCAACAGTCTCCCACTAGGGCAACATATGTTTTTGACTAATGTAAAACTTTAAGAGCTAAAAATTTCCTATCATATAATAAGTATTCTATAACAATCTCATCCATCAACTATATCCATATAGGATCAAACCAGTCTTTTTCATATCTATCATGACTAAACCTATCAATGATCATGTATACAAACATAGTCAAATGACATAGATCAATCATGGAGTGTAGTATGAAAATTACATGCAATATGAACTGCACATGTCTATTTCCAACCGGTCCTCTTTAAACATTAATGAGATCAAATTTTATCAACATCAGAGTGTGGATAAACCAAAATAAACTTTATTTATACAGAAAATAACTTTAATATAAATGTCCTTAAATATAAGTAACTGAAATTATGTCTATAAAAAACGAGTATTAATATTACAAACTCCCACTAAAATAGAATATCCTTAAATGATATTACACCATCGTGACTAGTGTTCTCATGAAAGACCTTAGGTGATAGTTCTTTAGTAAGCGCTCAGTTATGAGTTTGTAGCTACATGCTCTATAAACACATAATCACTCCGAATTTTCTTTAATAAAAAGAAACATAATGTTTATTAGATTTCACTTAAGGTGTTTCTGTTATATATGGAATAAAGGACTAAAACTTAGTTGTCACAAAATAACTCATGTGGTCTTTCTTATTAATCCATAATTAGCAATTCATGTGACAATTTTGCATACATATTCTAATAAGTTGGAGTCTATAAAACATGGTGATCTCTTACTTACTAGACCTCCGATATGTGAGCGTGTAACATTTTTATTTTTAAATGTATTGCATGAATCAATTTGGCTGTTATCCAATGATTCATTCCCAAATTCCTTAAATATCTTCTTAATATCCTAGAATGATACACTATGTCTGAATGTGTATAAACTTGAGTATACATTAAATTCTTTATTTATTTTGAAGTATAAGGAACCTTTTACATTTCCTATGTTTCAAAATCATCCTTAGGGAACTTATCAAGACTAAACTTGTTTCCTTTAGCAATAAGGGGTATTGTTTGGTTTACTCCCACTGAACTTATAGTGTATACAATTATCAATCAAATTCATCTCAAAACCAAATGAGATAATCACTTGGTGGAATTTGTTATACAATTAACGGGAGTCATAATAAACTCATAAATGGATTTACCTAATTTGCATATAATTAATTTTTTTTATCATTAGAAACAAATTTCTAGTTGCACCGTATAAAATATTTCATCAATGTTACCATTCATAAACACATTTTTGAAATCCAACTTATATAATTCAAAAACAAATATAAGCAACAAGTATCATAATTATCCTAAAAGAGTATTTCAATGAAATCAAAGAGAGTCTCTACAAAATTAATGCCTACTTTCTGAGTATATCTTGTATATACAAGACATGCCTTGTACTTATCAAATCACCATTTGTATCAATCTTGATAATAACTATACATTCATAACAAATCAGATTTGCATCTTCAGGTAATGTGATAAGTCTTCAAACTTTATCATCTTCTATAAAATGTATATTCTTCTTACTTCGCTTAATACACTTTTGAGAGTCATAACTTTTCTGACATAACGAAAGTTTATTAGATCATCTTTCATCATTCTACTGTTATCCTTATTTCTTGTAGAAACATAATAATCTAAAATAATATTTCTCTCATCTCGTGGATCTTCCTAATGACATTTGTTCTTTGAGTTTGTTGAGTTTGTTCTTCCAAAATGATTTCTCATCTTAAATGGATAGTTGTTCAAAATAACCTTATTGAGATTCTAGATCAACTTCTTGATTAATGACATGTATGAAAACATGGATATCATCAAAAGTGATAATAGGAATTGCGTTATAATCAAATTACTCCTCAAAATCAATTCTTTAAACCTTATTTATCCCTCCAAACTCAACATCCCAAAAGATAGTGTTATAGTTATCACCTTAAAAATGATTTTAATTATGAGATCATAAAACATATAACCTCTGGATCGCTCAAAATAGCCTAAGTAATTACTTATTGTTTTATAATTTAATTTATCTTATATGTCCCAACTTAACTTAAAAGAGAATAACCATTTGTAACATATTGTTGTCTCTTTTAAGTTTGACCCTTAACAACTGTATTATTCTTTTTTCTGCTCTTATCTTTATATGCACTTTTCAAGTGAGTACTTTTAGATTTATTTTGCTTCAACCTTTCTTCCTATTGCACACAATGAAAAATGAGCTCATTTAGAGTTCATTTATCACTTTGAGTTGATTAAACTTTATAGGAAGCGATACTGAAATCACAAGAACAAGTAATTCTTCAGAAAAACTCAATCTTAATTGTCTTAAGTCTTGAAGCAATATGAAACATATCCATAATGTATTTCCTCACATTTCCTTGACCCTTATACTTTATAGACATCAAAGAAGTCAACTGTGGTGTCAATTAAACCATATTATTTTTAGAAAACATTTTCTTAATTTCCTTAAGGAAATCATTAGACCAAGTATACTTTTAGATTATGTGCCCCTAAAAGCTTCTAAAATATTGTGTCTCATGACCACTATACTTATGCAATTTAAACAAATTTCACCTCTCAAAATCCCTTATGCCAATTAAGAATGTTATCCCCTATGAGACGTGGAAATTGTTCTTTCCTTAGGGAAAAGTCTATGTTCATACAAACAAAACCTTATGTAAGTGCATTTTTCTAGTTATTCATATTCACTTTCCTGAGTGCATTTTTCCATAGAGCAAATATTGTGGGAACAAATAAATAAATCATTTAAATATATAACAAACTTCAAATAAAACTAAAACTCACCATCACAAGATACCAAACACTACATCAATATCAAGTCTTTGGACAGTAATATCAACAGTAAACGGTACTCTTGTTGTGGCAATCAAACATTGACAATAAGTTATATCGAACAAAAGACTAATATTTGGACTAATGTAATGCTCACATAAAATAAATACATTATAATTTTCACACGTTATTGTCACAGGTGTCGCTTGAAATCCAGCCAAATATTAACTTTCCCTTAGGACAATTAATAAATGCATGAATCACAAGAAACACATAATTATCTTGATATTTCAAATAAATCAATCTACATAAAAGAGGTCACTTTGGCGGCTTTTTGTTTAAAAAATCTACTAAAGTATCATACTTGGCCAAAATATGAATTAATTGGTTTCAAAATATATATTCTAATAACAAATAATCAAAATTATATTTCATATATTACATTAACAATATAAATAAAACTATAGAAATATTTTCAACCAATCAATTTCTCATAATTTATCTTTCTATTAAATTAAAAGATAACTAAAATAATGATAAATTTGAATACACTTAAACCTTATCTCAGTATATCGAATACTCTATTAATATTTCATCTCTAGACAAAATATTCAACTTAAGTGATATTTGATGCGGTAATCAATCATTGATAATAAGAACATGTCAAGCAAAAATCTTCCTTTGGGTAGATTTATTACTCACGCGTCAAGCCAAATAATTATCACATCATTTTTACCAAAGTTGTCCATGCAATTATGTCAACTATTAATTTTCCCTTGGGTTGATCAATACTAACATATCCTAAGGTCCATGTACATAACTTTTATATTTAAAAAAACATATATTTTCCATAATAAAGGCCACTTTAACAACTAATTACTATAATTAAGTCGTCTAAAAATAAAAATTAATATTCAAATTTAATATTTCTATAACAATCAAAGGTCAAAACTAAAATTTCTGATTGCACTAGGGTATCCAAAATAACCCAAAATAAGTGTCGACACCCGATTTAGTCTAGAGACCCATTTTTATTTTTATTTTTTTATTATCATTATTATTTATTATTATTTATTATTATTATTATTATTTTGTAGGTAAAACTAATAACACTTATTGTGGATCCTATGTTTAGGCCAAACACTTACATTATGAAGATGATTCTTGCTTCAGAAAGATGCTGCGGAAGGTAAGGTAAAAAGATGTTTTGGTATTCATTTATGTAAACCACTTCCACCATCCTCAGTTGAATATATTTATTATTGGTATAATATTGAATAATAAAATGAATATGAAAAAGACCCTTATTACATTTTTAAATATATATATATATATATATATATATATATATAGAGAGAGAGAGAGAGGGGGGGGGGGGGTGGTAGTGTTATTGCATCCCCACCTGCTTCATGTTAGCATAATTATTTGTTTGGCTGGCATGTTCTTAGCCCCTTCTCAAGTATACGATTTGGTCCTAGGGAACACAATGATCCTCAAATTGGTTGGCTTTGGCTACCTAACACTAACTAGTTCAGGGATTTAATCGTATTCAACCAGGGATAAATACGATTTTTAATTGTCATCTATTTTAGAATTTTTTATCTTTTTATTGAAAATCTATTTTCTTCTTTCTAAAATTTTATAAATTGATCCCTTTAAAATTTTAAAATAAGTTGTTATGCCCGTCCTTGTATTCAATGACTCACGTTGGAGCTATCGGGTATCGATTTCAGTGAAAATGTAAGGCCCAATGGCCAAGAATAACATGGAATTGAACACCAACAAAAATGCTAAGAATCAGTTTTCACTCTTTACAGGCAAACGAATGAACAATACAAAGACCAATTAAAGATCAGATTCTCTTTTTTCGGCAGAAAAAGATTCTGCTTTCTTCATTCCTCATTTTCGCTGGAAAAGCCCTCGAATTACATTCATGCAATGTGACCAAATAATAATAAGGCAACAAAATGTATAAGAAAAAAAAAATAAACTCACTTATTAGATGTTATAATAGGCCGAACGGCTCGGGCAGAGACTCGAATCCATTGTCGAAGATGGATCCTTGATCGGATTTATCATCAATACTACGCAACCAATTCATATTCTTCAAGTCCTCCTTTAGGAGTATTGCATCATAACGGGAACTCTCATAGATATCCACCTCACTTAATTTGGCCGAGTATATTCCGTCATGGTTGTCGCTTCCGTTCTCTGCAGATCTCATAATGATATTTCCATTCTCAGTGTAGTCACCATTCTTCAAGCTACTGGCACTTCCATTGCTATTGAAAGAGTCCGAATTGCTTAAAGAACGAACAGATCGAGTCTTGGCGGGTGCAGATCGGATACTCTGGGGGAAAAGAGTTGTGCCTGAAAGGGAACGATTCCCTGAACCATTTCTTATGTCCTACATCAGTCACCATAAATAGCGTTGGGATTATCCTGTATGATAAACTCGGTATATCCAGGGGAAGTAGGAACACTAGTAACTTTAACACAATGCAGTTTCGTAATACGGCACAGCGTCTACGGAAAGAACGATCACAACAAATTCTGACTGCTAAACGTGCCATTGCAACTCTAAATATTTAGAAATCCAATACCTGAGACCCTGAAATTTTCTTCTAGACTTATTGGATCATGGTGATGTTCTATTTAAATGACACTATTCCCACCCCTTAGCACATGATCAAGAAAAAGAAAAGGTTTATTTAAAACACATCACATGGTTAACATTTGCAGCAAACAGAGTTTCACTTATGAAGTAACAATTAATTCCCCAAAAAAAAAAGTAGAGGGTAAGCATACCATGTGCCTAATAGCCATATCCAGTGATTTTTTTGAGATAGTTCTTCCAAATCCTGTGCCATCTGCAGTGGTTGTTGAAGACTTCACCTGTTTCCGCATAGCTAAATCTGAGACATTTGAAATCCTCCGTGACTCATGTATGTCAGACGAATGTCCATTGGAAAGGACGCGAGTCCTTCTAGGAGGATCGGCAAGTCCTCCCCTAGGGGCAATTGGTGACGAATGTCTTCTTGGTATATTTATAGAGTTACTAGTATCTAGGTTCACCTTCATCGCGGCAGAAGCACCAGGCCTAGACCTACCAGCAGAGATAGGCCTATCGGGCAACGTTGTTCTAAGGTTTGGTGGTGTATCAAGAGGAAAATCTGGGGGTACAACTGGCTGCTGTGGGGGGCGAACTCGTGGAACAGGGGAGCCTGGTCGAGAGGATGGAGCTGGAGTTCGACCATTTGAAACAATACGCCCGGTAGAAAGTGAAGGGCTAGCTGGTGAAGATAGAGAAGCTGCTGGATTCCGACGTGTGGGAGTTGATGGGCGAGAATTTGAACGAACAGATGTTGAGTTCAAGTTTGCAGGGATTTGTGGCCTAGAAGTGGGAGTTGACGGACGTGAACTTTGTGAGGGTCTACTCCTGTCAACATAAGAGCTGGTGGGAGATGGACGAACTTTCGAAGGAGTTGAGGGCCGTGATGTTGTTGAGCGTGCAGATGGGGTTGAAGGTCTTGCAGTAGATAACGAGCGGGTAACAGGAGAGGATGGTCTAGTATAAGATGACACAGATGCTGAGCTTGTGTTGAGGATTGAACCACCCCTGTTTGTGGAATAGTTATTGTATGAAGAAGAGAGAGATGGACGAGTTACTGAACTGCTTCTAGCGGGTCTCGATGAATGATTGCTTTCGGAATGTGAAACTGAGAGCTGAAACAAAGAGATAACAGTAAAATTAGTCATTCATGATTGCAAAACTTCAAGTGGATGAAGAATTGGTGGACCAAGAGGCAAACTCATGAAAAATGAAATGCCAACAAACTAGAAGTCTAAAAATTATAAGGAAATGCATATACCCTTGAAGCCTTGGTGGTGGATGAAACTGATCTAACTTTTGGATTGCTTCTTTGAGCCAGTGAAGTTGACTGAGATTCTGATCCCTCGGATGAAGGAAAAATTGGAGTTCCAGGAGGAGTTAGAAGCCTAATCACATAAAGTAGTTAATATTATCAACTGAGAGACAAGGATTTCCAAACTGAGTCTAAATTCAAGCCTTCATTGAGTAACAAATTACCCAAAAATGTTATCAAAACGGCTATTTTACAGTAAAGCAATCCAACTTTACCTCTCACAGCTTAGGGCCTAAAGATTCACCCACATTTTTGTTTACTTGAGTAAGTCAATAGTATAGAATAAACATTATTAAAATTTAAACATGGAATTAACTAAAGGCAACATGAAATGCATAAAACTCAATGCGAAAGGTAATGATTCACAAGAAGAAAAGGTTAGTTGATTTGTAGAGAGCAGTCCGATTCAGGGATTTAAATAGTAGTTGCGGTCGCGTTTTCGATTGCATTGCCCTTACGGCCATAATCGGTGCTATTATGGGTATTGCGGTCGTACCATAATGATTTCAGACTGCACTTTTACTGCTATATAACGGTTGTTATTCCGATTGTGGACCGATATATAAATCCCGGCACCCAACACCCATGTCTAATTCATATTGGAGGCATAAATGTCAAGATAGAGCAATGAGAGAAAAAAAAATTCAAGTGTGTTGCCATTGATATTTTATTTTCTTAAGTAGGGAGGAATCTACAGTGCTCATTGATATTTTATTTTCTTAAGTAGGGAGGAATCTACAGTGCTCCCGGAAGATGGCCGGACAACACGGCATCTTCCATGTAGAAGAAGTGTAGAACACGTAATTCCGGCGTCTTCACCGAAGACACCCTGTACTCCCGGCGTCTTCTCCGGTGTATCATAGATAGAACCCGGCGACCACTATTTCGAAAAAAAAATTCTCATCTTACTAGTTGACAGATATTTCCCATATCTGAGTATTTGTGACGCAGCTCCAGATATGGGTGTAGGATATGAATCATCAAAGATTTCTCAAATAAATGAAGAAAGATTGAAGATATCCATAACAGACACCCACCCAAGTCCGATTACATATTGGGTGATGGAAACCAAAAAGATCCGAAAGCGAAAATGATGCAAATGATTAGGCTAAATTAGAAGATGCGATTCAGCAGTCTATCATAGTAAAAATAGCAATGATTTACCAGTCATAGTCATGCTTTCCTCCTTCTGTAGAAGAAAGTAGATCATCGATTCCACCCTTTACTATCGCTGATCCATTTGATATTCTTCCCAGTTTTACTGATACTACAAAACCAAGAGTTTCGTTTCAGTTATTGCCTAAACCACACCGTTTATCCTTTTCAGGCTATATTCCAATTCAAAAACACACCGATCATTTTCCAATTTATGTTTGGAAAAAAAATTCCAAAAGGATTTGGAGAAGACGCTTAGCTTACAGCTCCCTTTGAAACCGACAAACTAATCTGATAACACTAAGTGAATAACATCAAAGTAAGTAGATACAAAGACAGAGAGAGAAAAGTACCGTCGGATGATTCATCGGAGGAGGCAACGGAGAGGCTGCGGCGGCTTTTTGAGAAAAGATCCAAATTCTCGTCCGAATCCCTGGGGAATAATCCAGCGTTCAAACTCCTACCACGGCGGTGATGATGGGAGGCCGCCGAAACGTTGTTATGATTATTAACACTAGTCCGACCTCCGCCGCTCACCAGCGATTCCCTTAGGTTCCTATTCATCATCTTGGCCGTTGCTGTACCAAAAAAAAATCGGGTGCTGCAACTCCTACGCTAGGCCAGCTGCTCCCTGCCCCATCGCTATTGCAACTCCAAAATGGGAGCTTCAAGAAGATAAATGGTATTGCAGTGGTACTACTGCCGTTGCCACAGCCCAAATGCAAAATACAATGACAGTTAAGCAACCGGGCTGTCACTGTATATGAATCCTCTTCTTCATTCTTTCTTTTATTATATATATATATTATTTGTTTACAATAATAATATTGAAGTGATGTCGGAGAGGGAAGAGGGGAAGTGGCGTTCAGATCTGTTCTTCGCACTGCTAAGCTTTAATATCAGATCTGTGCTTTTGTTTGCGGAGACAACCAATACAGCTTTTCCATTTATCTATTTTTTTAATTTTTAATTAATGCTTTTGTTCTAATAATTATTTAATAATTGTGAATATTTTTTATCCATTTATTTTATTACTCCTAAATCTCAACTGAGAATAATTAGGTTTTGCGTAAAGTACATAAATGGTCCTTCAATTATAAGATGTTAATTTTTTAATCTTTCGACTATTAAAAGTTATAAAATAATTTTCTAAACTATAAGACAATGTTTTGTTAAATCCTTCGACTATCAAAAGTTACAAAATGGTTACTTGACTATTCATATGTTCTAAACTCATCTTTTTCTGTTAAAAAATTATGATCGTGTGAGCTAGACGTTAATTGTACGACTGAGGTATGATAAAATCACATTTTAATGATGTCTACTAGCACGGTCTTTGCTTTCAAACACTAGCTCGATGGTATAATGTTTTAAGCACTGGTTTGACAGTATAATATAAACATAGAGTCGGCTTCAGAAATACAACTTAAACAATTTTGAGATCAAATTTTATCATATCTTAATCAATAGGTTAACATCCAACTCAAATGACCGTTAATTTGTCAAAGGAAAAAGACTAGTTTGGAACATATAAATAGCTTAGTGATCATTTTATTTTTATAACTTTTAATTGTTAGAAAATTCAACAAAATAACTCCCTATAGTCAGGAGTCATTTTATAACATTTAAGAGTTAGAAAACTCAACAAAAATAATTGAATATTTTATTTTAACTATAATTATTTTTTAATATTTTGATTTTAATTTTTTTTCAAACTATTTATTTTTAAATAAAATTCATTTATGAAAAAAACGATATAAATTAAAAATTAAAATACTCTAAATAAATAAAAACAAATAATTAGTTAAAGGTTGGTATTACATTATAGCTAAAAATTATATACACGATTAGTTAAAACCCAAGTTAAATATATATATATGAACTCGTCGAGTAATTTTAACGGTAAAAATATTATATTTTTAGTTGATTTAAGATCTTGTAATTGTGTCTGCAGGGAATAAATTAAGAATTTATTATAGTAAGATTAAAAATATTTTTTATTTTCTATAAATACAATTCTTTAATAAGTTGTCCGATAAAATTTTCTTTATTTACTTTTTAAAAATATATATTTTAGTATTAATTAATATTTAAAAATAATTGATGGGGCAAGGCTCCCCTTGTCCCCACTATATTCTGCCCTTACGTGTCTATAGTATACATGTGTGTTTAATGATGTAAGAATTCTGAACAAATTCTACTTTATAATTATCTCAACTATTCGAAAATATAAAATAATAGAAAACACATTATCAAAATCAACCCCGCCAAAAACGAAATAAGCTCAGCAAAAACACAAGTTTCACTATTTCTATATGATAAAATTGGACAAAGTTGGGCAAATAATGTAGGTAGGATAATTAATTAGTAAAATAGGGTATCCTAAAGTTTATTTTGAGTTTTAGGTCTTTTGATGTATTGCACATGAAACTTATTATATGGAAGTAACGAGTTTCATAAAATATATTTAAAAATAGAACTCATTATATGAAATGAATCAAAATTGTATGGATCTCGTCACCTCTACCTGACAAATTATAAACTTGTCACCTCCATGTGACAAGTTTTAAATTTATCACATATATTATACAAAATAACTTAGATTTAAAGATAATTTTCAATCACTCCCCTTTCTTAATTTTTTTCTGGTCTGCTTTATTTCCCCAATTTTACCATAAAATTAAGTATTTTATTTTTTATGGGTGTAATAAAAATCTTAAATTCAATTTTGATATTATATAAGAACATCAAACTTATATTAAAATTTTAAATTTTAAGAATGCAGCCGCTCTCATCATCCCCGATCCATCTATGCAGTAATATAGTAACCTATGTGATAATTTGAACTTTTAGAATCCAATAAAGAATGCATGTTAAAATGTAATAAATGAAGAGATATATAATCTTATTAGGAAAAGCAATTTTTATTGTTAATATTATCGCCTATTTTTCTTTAATTTGGCATTAATATCTTTATCTAGATATTAAGAGCAGTTGATGGTAATAAGTGAGTTCATCTATTTTTTTTATTTAGACGAAGAATTATAGTCGGTGTAAGTAACAATAATCGAGTGATATTTTTTTAAGAGAGAAATAAAAATATTAGGAGAAGATGAAAATCTATATATGTTCTTTTTATTAATCAGTGACTCGAATATATTTACGATGACTTTAGTTGGTGGTGTGAAACATAAGATAATCACTCGTTAATAAACTGACAAATAATATATATGATTATTATATGTTAACTTCAGTTTTGTCAAAAATTGAGAAACAAGACTTTAAAAAATAATTTCAACAGAAGATGATTTCGAAGATAATGATGTCTCGAAAAGTCTTTATTGACGAAAATCTAATAATTACTCAAAGATATCATCGGAGATATAATAATAATTTTTTTAACATTATATATAGAGTGAGGTAAAAGAAATCATAAAAGATTAGGTAAGGAAGCGGTGGATAAGTTTTGATAAATGAAAAGTTTGGTTTCATCTTAACCTAAAAGGAAATAAAATCTTTAATAAATCAAATGCTGCAGTTGAGTCTGAGTTTACATTTAAAACGGACTTTAAATCGATTCTATTCTAAAACCAGTTGAAATATTTGTGGTAATATTAAACATGGAAGGTACAAAGTAATAATATTGTTATTGTTTTCTTTTTTTATTTAAAAATGAATCAAATATTGTTGAAACTTAACCTTTTTTATTAACGTGAATTTTACCAAATTTAAATGTCAACGACAATTTAGGAAGGTGGATGAATGATTGATCAAAGAGAGGTTACGTCCATGTCCTTCAACTTACAGGAAAATAAAATACCCAACTGCCTGATTAAAATGTTTCAATTATTTATTTAATTACATTCAATGATGAATTCTGATTATTTCATTTAAAAACGATAATAGATATTAAAAATAATATTATGGGTACCTATTATTGGCGGATACTGTAAGATGAGATTGGAAATCTCTTAAGTTAATGATTTGAATTTTGATGTGAATAAAAAATTTGAACTAAAATAATTATTTTTTAAAATAAATTTTTATTAAACTCGATATAGATTAATTAATTAATAAATTAAATTATAAAAATTATAGAAAATGCATTATGTGACCCAGGGATTGCCATTTTATGGAGTAGAAGCGATGAGCATTAAACTAAGTGTTTTAAATTATGGGAGATACTCTATTAACAAATCTAATGTTATGCCGTTATTAAAAAAAACCCCAAAATGAAAGGGTAAAACTTTAGTGTTGTGTTGCGTATTAATTAATTAAGTAATTAATGGTTTTGTTAACTCGGGTGAAAGTTTTAAATAGCATATAAGTTGGAAACAATCCAAGTTTCCTAAAAATTAAGGAATCTATTCTATAGTAAGTACTTTTCGTATTTAAGTTTGGATTAAATCTCATCCTTACAATTTATTGCTGCAACTTCTAATTCTGATTATTTCTTTATTTCTTTCATTAATTATTGTTTTCTTTACTAACCATTAGATCTATTTAACCTTCTAACATGTCAAAAACAATAATAACCTTACGTTTGGCACTATTAGCGAATGTCACCACTATATATACCCTCAATCACGCTTAGAGAGGAGATTTTTTTCTCTATTCTTGCCATCCTCTTCACTCCCCCATATATCTATTATGCCTTCATCTCTATCATAGAAAAATATCATCCAATAGTCGCACTCTCACCAGTCGTAGCTTTCCATCGAAACCAGCAGGGTGAACGGCCAATGACTGACTCAACCCCCTTGTTTCCATCAATAATTGATCAATGAGCATGAAGAAACCTAACAATCAAGAGAATTAGTCGAGATCTATCCCAAAAATCAAAATAATCATCCTCACTTTTCTGAAAATCAAAACAATTATCCTCACTTACCTGAAAATCAGAACAATCATCCTCACCCTGGCCTGGCCTGTCCATTGTTATAGGCCAGAGTTGTCTATGACGCGGGGGGGGGGGGGAAGAGCAAAGAGGAGGACAATGCGAGAGACAACACGTGTCCCTTAGTTTAGATCTTGCACACCTCTGCTTACCTAGGGTATGAATGCATGAACAGAGAGCCCTGTATATAAATGAAGGAAATTTAAATCTCATCTTGTCCTAAGTGTAGTGTGGTCTAATGAAGTGGAATCTAATAGGTTACTAAATTCGATGCTTAAGACCTAATATGAAAGAGAACTTAGACAAACGAGTTAGAGGAATAAAATAGCTTTTGCGCTGACAATTCTCATAGTGAATATTGGAGAATGCAACAGTTGTACTTGAATAGTTTAATGCTCTGTTTGAAGTGCCTAATCATAAACGATATACTTATATTATATGAATAAAGTCATCCATTTCGACGCATTATCTATAATAATAATAATTTATAAAAAGTACCCTGTGTGGATGCAATTTTGAGACAATGCTAAAAAGGGTGTACTCCGTCGCATACATTCTTTACGCTGTCCTTGCAAGAGTATGTCTATTGAACCTATTTTGATATAACAATTTAAGGGAAAATTATTTTTGGATTTATTTGAATTTATTGAAAGGTTTCAAAATAATTCAAAGTCTGAATTTGAACAGAAAACAATATTTTGGGGTAAGTAGATATTGTTCTTACAATATCGATATCACATGAATAGTACTGATATTATTCTTATAGTATCGATATCAAATGTAAAAGAAGTATCGATACTCTCATTGTAGTATTGATAGTACCTATTTTTTTTCAAGTTGTTCAAATTCCAGTAAGCAAAATTGGTATCGATACTCTAGGAGTCATGATACTACTTTACATAGTAGTATCGATACCATGAAACTATAGTATTAATACTAGTCAAGCCCAATGAGCAATAATGGCTA